AGGAGGAGCCCTTGGAAAGATGACCACCGAGGAATGTTTCCGTGACCCCGGTGCTGCCTTTCTTCTGAGCTGTTGGAAAACGCTTTACAGTGAAATGCATCCTGGCATCTGAGAGTGATGGGCATCTGGGATGCAACCATAGAGGGATGCCTGGTGTTTTGCAAAGTGTGAACCCAATGAGTACAGGGGGATGTATGGAAATGTTGAATGACTCTATTGTACATCTGAAACATACATACAACACTGTATGTTTACTAACTGGATTTAAGATGAAAACTTAATACAAACAAAAACCAAAGTGTGAACCCAGAGCCTCTCTGTCAGAGTATCTGGCTTTGGTTTGTCCTAGACCTATAAATTTGTATTTCTCGTGTGGCACTTAGGCATCTGGGTAGTAGAGTTCTACAGATAATTCTTCCCCACACTGAAGTTGGAGATTGCTGGTGTCATGGGAGCCCTCCATTGACCATTCAGGTGTTGAGTACTGCCTCTGGTTTCCCATGATGCTATAATCCAGGCCTCTGAGTATGTGGGACATCCCAAGCTTCATGACCTAATAGGGGCTGGGGCTTGGCAGCCGGCATGTTTCCCAACAGGCTGGGTCACATATCAGTGGGGGATGTGTACCACTTAGCCTGCTTAGCCACTTGTGGAGACGAGGTGGAGTTGGCTTGGATCATTGGTCCAGAGCATTCCTCGGTGGTTACACGGGTTGTGCGTTGTATAGGTATGCATGCTCGGCTGGGGCCAGCAGGCCTCCTACCTGGGGTAATCACCTCTGCTTAGTTTAGTGGTCGGCCGGGAGGTGAACACACAGAGCCTGGGCCACTGCAAGCTTAGAGCATCAGTTGTTATGAGCAGATGTTCAGGTCTGACAGAGAGGTGAGTGTCTACCGAGGTCTTAACTCCTAGTTTCAATAGAGGCCTCAGGGCATTCTGTAAAGGGGGAAATGGTTTGTGGGAGAGTAGACGGTCAAGACACATGCTCTTGAGGGTTTGGCCTGTCTGGTCTCTTCTTGTTTCCCTCCTTCTCTTTTATCCCTTCTCTCCCCTTCCCCCAACTTTGGGCTTTGAGTTCTTTGCCTGGCAAGTCAAGGCATGTAGATAGTCACTCAGATTTTGCTGGGAAAACCCGGAAAAAGCAGTGTTGGCCAAAAAAAAAAGGTGGGGGGCAAGGCATGGAGTTGACTATTGAGACAGAATCTGTGAGGTGCTGTCGCAGCTGAACTCTGGGCATTGCGAGACGCCTTTTCATTCTCCCCCACATTCGGAGGCCTTTCTCTCATGGACTAGGGAGGTTACCCATGTAGCTGATCTCTCCCTGTCTTACAGAGAAGCTTCTCGCCTTTTTGCATTTTAGATGCGACTTTGTCGCGGATTGCTTTGCTTCTTCCAGAGAAAGATCGAGGCACGTGAAGATGAATCCAGATGTTTAGGAAATTCACAAACTCCTCATCTCCCACTACTCATGGTTATCTTGAGTAATCAGTAATGGTGAATTTACCTACTGTCTTATTGACATAGTCAGTATCCCTGCTGGGAGAAATGTGAGTTCTTAACTGTGTTTCTCTGTTTGTATAGAGGATGTTTATCCACTGGATCTGGCTCCTTCCTGACCATTGCTGGCAGTTAATAGGCGGGACGGCAGATAGCAAAATGATGGGAACAGCAGATGCAGGGCAGTGTGCCCCTGAGTGGCACCCACAGTTTCTTTATCCCCCTTAAGGCTCTGTAAATCCCATGGGTCTCAATTCCACTGGAAATGTAGTTGGTCCTTAGAAGATATCTTAACCACTTCCTGCTACTGTCTTCCCTCCTCGTTTTATTCTTTTCTTTCTTCTTTTTTTTTTTAATGTTTATTTTTGAGAGCAAGTGGGAGGAGCAGAGAGAGAGAAGGATACAGGGGATCCGGAGCAGGCTCTGTGCTGTGAGCACAGAGCCCAATGTGGGGCTTGAACTCACAAACCGTGAGATCGTGACCTGAGTTGAAGTCAGATACTTAACCGACTGAGCCACTCAAATGCCCCTTTTCTTCCTTCTTTTCTTTTCTTTTCTTTTCTTTTCTTTTCTTTTCTTTTCTTTTCTTTTCTTTTCTTTCTTTTCTTCTTTCTTTCTTTCTTTCTTTCTTTCTTTCTTTCTTTCTTTCAGAACAGTTGTAGATAGTAGAGAGGGTTCCCAGTTAATCTTAAACACCTGGCTGAGATAGCATTTGCAGCTATATCCACTATAAAGTTATGTATTTTTCTCCTTTTGCATACAGTTCTCTTTGTTGTTGTTTTTGAAGGTGCAATATAATGATGTAATATATGTATACATTGTGAAATGATGACCACAATCAAGTTAATTAACACATTCATCACCTCACACAGTTACCTTTTTTCTTTTGTGGCGAAAACACTTAAGATCTGCTCCCCTAGTAAATTTCAAGTGTATGTACAGTATTCACTATATATATATATACACACACACACACACACACACACACACA